TGTTTGTGTGTGTGTGTGTGTGTGTGTGTGTGTGTGTGTGTGTGTGTGATAGAGAGAGAAAGTTTCCCCAACAACTCTACACACCCTGAGCAATCTGATAATAGTAGTAATAGCATTCCCCCTCTCTCCGTTTTATTGCGTCAGTGACCCCTTTTTGTACCTCACCAGGGGAGAATGGGCACGAGCTTATTATTGACGCCCTCAGCATTAAACCCTTCTTTTGCCCCTCGCTATAAAACCGACTCCATCCGTAGTCGATGGTACCTTATGGAAAAAAGAGGATCGAACACCTTCACGAGACAGACTTTCATTTGAAGTGTGGGGTTTCCTTCGGCTTTGAGCGCTCATTTTTATTACTGTGGGTGACGTGAGGTCCATTCCGAATATACAGCAGAGCTGTGTTCCTTCGACTTTTCAATTCAACATTCAAGATTTTTGCCCTATTCAGTGCTTTTCGAAGCGTACAAAGCCATTTGAACGCCGTGTGATTTTTAAATTAATTAATTAATTATATGTTTTATTTTTTAAATTAATTAATTAAATTATTTTTTAAAAACAAAAATGGATTTTCGTCTCACTTTTCTCAAACCGTAGTACAGGTAGTGCATGTTATATCTAAAGCTAATTGAGATAAAAATACAGTTAATACTCTGTACTTGATGGTTACGAGACTGAATGATAGAGAGGAGCCAGCAAGTGTATTGTAATATGTGCCTGTATCCTTTGCTTTTCAATATTCATTATCAAGCAAGGGCACTTGGCTCTGGAGGCGCAACGAACGTTTTTGGTTTGTTTTTTTTACCTCCATAATATGAGATCAGCTGTCGCAGTGAGCTCCCCGTCCCTTGTCCGAACTTCAGAGCGCTGTGAATGATGACGTGATGTCATCTCGTTTCAATCAACACAAGAGAACATGCACGCCTAGTTACTGGCTCAGAGATATACAGTTAGCGAATGTTGAATAGCGGAAGTTATAGATTGACATATATATAATAGGAAAAAAACAAACCAAAAACTTTCGACTTCGGTTTTTGAATGGCATGAAGAGTGAGTTCACGCTTCAAAGCGTCAATGAAACTTATTTTATTTCCTCAAAATCGCACAGCCCAGCACTAGATCTAGTACGCTGGGGCGTCGGTAGTTTAGAGGATAGAATTTTGGACTCATAATTCTGAAATTGAGGGTTTGGGGGTTTGAGGGTTTTGTCCTTTATACTGAGAGCGGTTTTGAACATTAAGCTCTCACTGGCAAAACTGAAGGCAAACGAGGCAGGGGTAGGCCCAGAACAACATACTTAGGGAACCTGAACAAATGGGTAACAGGGAAAGATCAGAGAAACGTAGTTTTTTTAAAGAGCATCCGAGCAAAAGAGTGAATAGAGAACGATGATCGCTGATGTCTGTCACAGATCTGGCACTGACTGATGATGTGACCGTTTATCCTCCTTCGTAGACCTCTTGCCTTCAGCAAAGTAAAAAAAACCCCCAGTCATACAGACTACATTAAAATATAGAGGCTGTGAGGAGCATAGAGTTTGCTGTTGAGCCGGAATGTGCGCTCTACAAATGCTATAATTATGATAATAACAATAATGATAATAATGATTATTATTACCATGTATATTTCTATGAGGATGATGATGACTATTATTACTATTACTATTATTACTATTA